GAATCAGCAGCTCGAGGTCATGAGTGCCCTAGACCCAGCCCTGTTTACACACCGGCAAGAGCAAAGGGTAAGGGGTAGAGGGTGGGGGTGGAGCAAGGGGCAGGGAGCAGGGACGAGTTTGGACAGAACCACCATCTCTTTTGGGAAAGTGCAGGGCGCCCCCTCGTGGACAGGCAGAGCCTTGCAGACCAGGGAGTCATACTCATTAAAGCCGGTTCATTAATTAGATTAGAGCAGGCTGACTCCTGGAGGCAACCTCTGAACACTTCTGGCTGATTTCCTGCCAACCCTTTTCTTGCACAGTTTTTCTTTTTTACAGTTTTGCTCTGGAAGTAGTCTATTTTTGATCACTTATCCTGCTTTCTTTATAAGCATTTTCCCAAACCCTTAAAAAAATCCTCATAAATATTTTAATGGCTCTGTTGTCATTTATCCAATGGGTGTAACATCATTTAGGGAATCAAAGCATCAGTGTTGAATGTTTGTCTGGTTCCAATTTTTCGCTGTCATAAACAATACCATAATGAATGTCCTTGGACAGCCCTTTGGTCCATATCTCTGATCATTTTTAGGATGGTCACTCAGAAATAGATTTGCTGAGAAGGAATGTACCTTTTTTATTTTTATTTTTTTGAGTTTGAAGGCTGACTGCCAAGTTGCACTATAGAAATACAGTAGGAAATATAGCAGTTCAGCCCTTACCTCCAGCAGCGTCTGAGAGTGCCACCTCCCCATATCTGCCCACCTGGCTTTCACCAGCAACAAGAGTTAGAAGGACTAAAGAGTCGGAAGTGCCCTCAGGGTTACCTGGTTCAACTGCCTGACCAGGGCATAAGTCCCCTTCGCAACCTCCTTGGTAGTTAGTGAACAACTAACTACCTAGCATCTGCTTACATACCCCCCAGTGACAGGAGGCTCACTACCTTACAGCCAATGGCCACAAATCTCATGAGATGGTGGAAAGAAAACTCTGAAGAAGTGATCAGATAGTGTCAGCATTACCTGCATCTCTTCCCAAGATGCTTACTTGCCTGGATGGCTCCTCCTTCCCCACCCAGCTCTGCTTTCACTGCTCCTTGGCACAAGGCCTCCTTCCTACTCCCATGCCAGCCACCACGTCCCACCTCCCAGGCTGCCCTCCGTGGAAATTCTAGCCCTGCTTTGGAGGTCAGGGAACCCAATCCCTCCTCCCTGCTCAGTCGTCGATTTGCTGTGTATCCTTCAGCAAGTCTCTTGGCTCTCTGGTCCCCAGAGGGCCTATCTGTGCTATTAGAGGTGGTTTCTGAACCTCAGTGAGCTTTGCCCAGGCTCTGGGCAGATCTGATTCCCCAGAGGGGTACGTGGCAGGGGCCTGGGTCAGGAGAAGCTGGTTGGGCTTGGCATCCTTCCCAGCTGAGGCGGGTGACGGCCCCTGCAGAGCCTTCGGCAGTAACCGTCTGTTTCATGCTAAAGTTTATGAGAAGAGGCTGTGCCTTTCTGTGAGGAGACAGAGGGACACTGTAGGGGGTAGAGAAGCTTTTGTTCTGTCAAAAATTCCTGCTGTCTTTGGCCCTGCCCTGGTCTGTAAGCGTAAACAATGTCGGGACTGAGCCCTTCCAGGAAGCAACTCCTCGCCTCCATCACCCCTGCCTGCCAGCCACAACTCTCCTCTGACCTGCAGGAGGGCAAAGCCACTGGGCTGGGATGGGCTTAGCTGGGGGCCTGGGGGCCTGGGGGACTGAGGGATTTCTCTTCCTGAGCACAGACCTCAGCTTCATGATGGGGACACACTTGGGGGGGTTGATGGAAAAGGTGAGCCAAGTATAACCTTGTGGTAAAGCCCAATGGGCCTAGCCTCTTGCTCCTCACACACTGGAAACTCTTTGACAAACCCTGCTCCTTCCCCTGGTCTCAGTTTTACCATCTGGTCAATGGGTTGATGATATTCTCTGCCCCACAGGGTTATAGGAAGAGGTGAATGGGGATCTGACCAGACATGGAGCCCTGAGCACAAAGCCAACACAGAGACCAGTGCTTCATAAATGACTGTTTTCTTTGCTCTTCCCTTTGTCCTCTGCCAGCAGAATCTGCAGTTTCCGTGGCCCTTCTCTATCTCTGTCCCTGCCTGGAATTCCAGAAGCTGAACATACCTAATGCTGTTCCTTTATCACCTGCCACATCCCCGGCAACCCAAGGATAGCAAGCCTACCTCTACCCAGGCCTCCCTCCCATCTTTGGAACTTTCTTCTTACAATGTACACCCATTGGTCTCAGCCCTAACCTCTCCATCGGCTAGAACACATCTGCTCCCTCTCCCTGGGCAAGGCCCAGGAGAGAATCACACTGATATCACTGATGGGGACTGAGTACTTGCAGTGTCCCACCACTGAGCTGAGACTTTCACGTGCATGAATGTGTCCCATCCTCCTAAATGCCCTGAGAGGCAGGCCCTTCGTCCTCATCCTGGGTTTCCATATGAGGAAACTGAGGCACAGAGAGGTGGAGTGACTTGCACACTGTTTCAAGTGTTTTGCATGCATTATCTCATTTAATCTGGACGACAGTCTTATGTGGAGTCCTATTGTTATCCTGGTGAAATGACTTGCTCAAGATCACAGAGCTAGGATTTGGATCCAGAGTCTATGCTCTTAAGTTTACTTCACAAATGGGCAACTACCCAGACAACCAGTATTATGGAAACAGATGTTTCTTAAACTTAATGGCATGTGAATTCTCTGGGCCTCTTGTTAAAATGCAGATTCTGAGTCCGTGGATATAAGGTGGGGCCTGCGATTTTGCATTTCTAACAAGCTCCTTGGGAATACTGCTGAGGCCAGTCTAGGGGCCACAATTCAATGGTCACCGTGTAGGACCTGTGTTTCAGCCTGTCTGGAACTCAAAGCCTGCACGTGCCAGGCAGGTAACACAAATTGCCGGGAGCGGCTGGTCAGAGCAGAGGTGGCATCTGTCTGACGGGGTAGCTGCTTTGCACCCTCAGCTGATAGACACCATAAGAATTCTGGACCAATGCGGTCATGTTTCTATGTGAAATCTCCCATTTTTTAAATATTGGAGCAACTGAATCAACTTTGTAAGACACTATGCAGCTTGTACATGAATGTCCACATTAACATCACTCATGATAGCCAAATGTTAGGAACAACTCAAATCTCTGTCATCTGATGAGTGAATTTACATAAAACATGGCGTGTCCATACAATTGAATATTTTTCGGCAACAAAAATGAAGTACTGACACGTGCTACAATACGGCCGAACCTTAAAAACATCACACTAAGTAAAAGAATTCAGACACAGAAGGACAATTACTGTATGACCACACTGATATGAAATATTTAGGACAGGGAGATTAAGAGTCAGAGAGCAGACCAGGCGTGGGATGAGGAGGTGGGGGCAGGGTGGGGAGTGACTGTTAATGGGTGCAGGGTTTCTTGGGAGGGTGACAAAAATGTTCTAAAATTAGATTGTGGTAATGGTTGTATAACTCTGTGAATATGCTAAAACACATTGAATTGTACACCTTAAATTGGTAAATGTACAATCGTATCTCAATAAAGCTATTTAAAAACACCATGTAGGAGGCCCTGGCTGGTGTGGCTTAGTGGATTGAGTGCCAGCCTGTGAGCCAAAGTGTCGATGGTTCTATCCCCAGTCAGGGCACCTGCCAGGTCCCCTGGAGAGGACATGTGAGAGGCAACCACACATGGATGTTTCTTTCTCTTCCTTCCTCCCTTCCGCTCTGTCTAAAATAAATAAATAAATAAAACACCATGTAGGAGAAAGCTTTTCTCTTTAACATATAAAGTGCAGTTACAAATCACGAAGAAAAACACCAAACCCCAGCAGGGAAAACTTTTACAAAGGATTCGAACTAACAGTTCATAAAGGAAGTACAAATGGTCCTTAATGCGTGGGAACATCTTGCTTGGAAGATGAAGACATGCAGTAATGGAAGACATACAAGTGGAAGCTCCTCTGAAGGGTTTTCCACCTCTCGGACTGGTGACTACCAAAGCTCTCTCGGTGAGGGGGTGGGATGTTAAGTTGATGCCTCTGGGGGAGGGCAGTGGCAATTTGCCATTGCCTTTAAAACTAAAATTGCCCATACCAATGTTATTTCTAGGAATTTGTCCCACCAATGTTCTCTCTCTCTCTCACACACACACACACACACGTGTGTGCACACACACATGCACACTCTGGAGCATTGTTTGTGATGGAGGCAGAGCAGAGACCACCGGATGTTCTGCGACAGTGACTGGCAAACACTGGATCTTGCGACTGTTAAACAGAAGACAAGAGCTCTGTTTCTACTGGTGTAGGAACAGGGTATTTTATTATATTTATCTTACAATAATATGTCCAAAATACATGCTTAAGTAAGAAGAAAAACAGAAGGATGCAGAGCCAGTATATTGTTGCTATGTGAGCAGGGGAAGAAAGCGTGCGTGTGCGTGCCCTGCGTGTGCATGCCCTGGGTGTGTTCGCCCGTGTGGGGCCTATCTCGGGGTGGTGCATGGAGAAGGGTCAGGACCGCCTCCCGTGGGAGTGGCTGGCTGGGCCGGGGTGAGGCAAGGCCCACCTACACCACATGGGCACCGGACAGCCCGGTGCCTGTGTTGCCTCTTCAATAACTACTTAAACCATGCCGCAGTGTGGACCAGCGAGCACCTGTGCGTGGGTTCCTGCAGCCACCTGCCACCTCCTTGTGACGTCTGAGTTAAAGAAGTAATTCCTAGCCACCATCCAGTGCTTTGCTCCCTTCAGTTTGAAAAAGATGGGCACCCCCCCCCCCCCCCCGCCACCTCCTCTGTTCTCTGTCTCCCAGCCTTGGATCCCTGTGTGTGCTCTGCGGTGACCCTGGTGTTCTCTGGCTTGGGGACAGAGTGCTTTCAGTCAGGGCACAGTGTGTAAGCTGAAGAGGGAGACTGTGGGGACCCCTTGGGGGCAGCATTTTGGCCTGGTGGACCCCAAACCCTGTGTTTGCTTCCTGTCCCCTAGGCACGCCCCAAAGGTGAGGGTCTGACCCCGTACCAGGGCAAAAAGCGCTGCTTCGGCGAGTACAAGTGTCCCAAGTGCAAGAGAAAGTGGATGAGCGGGAACTCCTGGGCCAACATGGGCCAGGAGTGCATCAAGTGCCACATCAACGTGTACCCGCACAAGCAGGTGAGCTGGCAGGCCGGCGGGGGGCAGTGTGGCGGTGGCTCCCTGAAGGCACGTGGGGGGGAGTGACTTTGTCCTTTATTAGTCCTCCTTCTTATGACAAGGATGCGACCAGGTCCTTCCAAATGAGCTCTTTCTTGTCTCATCTGAAATGGGAGTGAGAGAAGGGGAGGAGGGTAAAGAGGCAACCATACCAAGACCCCGAGACTGCAGACCCCAGACAACGTTCGAAAGTTAGGAACTGGGTACTTTTGGGAGAGGGGGATGTGAGGATGATGGGCTGCTGTGGAAAGTGTGCGTTTTGTTTATTTATTCACCCAGTTGACTCTTGTGTATGGGGCTAGGGGCCCAGGTGCCCACCGGTCTGCCCGGGGCGGAGGGGTTGAGGCAGCTGGTCCCAGGTAGGACCTCACTCACTGCAGGCTGCAAGGGGGAACCTGGAGGAGGGCAGGAAGCTAGACCTCTCACAGTGGGGGCAGCCACCCTAGGAAGAGGGCAGGGATAGCAGGTGCAGATGCCCTGAGGCCGTAAGGACTTGGGGTGCTCCAGGTCTGAAGCTCAGTGGGGAGTGGGAGCGTGGAGGGGGAAGAAGGGAGCAGAGGCTGAATGGCACTCCTGGAGCCCTGGGGGCCACAGGAGGAAGCTTATGAGCCGCATGCCCCCTGCTTCGTTTTGAGGCAGTTACTCTGGTTGTGTGTAGAGATGAACTTTGGGTGGGGGGAGTGTGCTAAGGGTTTGAAAACGGGGAAGCCAGTGGGAAAGCCATGGCCACGTCCCGTGTGAGCTGGAAGAGGTCCGAGTCAGGAAGGTGGCTCTGGATCCAGGTTCAACACAAAGTGTCAACGGACTGGGTGTGGAAGGTGCCGGAGGGGCAGGGACCCAGAACAGCCACACTTCAGGCCTGAGCACCTGAGTGGGTGGCAGTGGTCATTACTGAGGTGAGCGCCCTGGGCTTGGGTGGGGCAGGGTGGGGACATAGGTGTTCTAGATAAAAACAAGAGTTCTCTGATGCACATGTCACGTTTGAGATGCTACTAAAAATCCAAGTCAACATGTCAAGAAGGCCTTTAGCTGTGTTGTTCTGGAGCTCAGCTGAGAAGCCAGGGTGGCTCCTACATAGCTGGGTATCACTGACCTACAGGTGTTGAGGCCTGGGTGAGATTTCCCGGAGAACATGGACAGAGTGGAGAAGGGGCTCCCCGGGCCACCTGCTGCGATCCCACAGTATTCAGGGGTTGGGTGCAGGAGAAGGACCTGGCCGGAGGAGAGACAGAGCATGTGGAGTCCTGGCGATCGGGGGTGCACTGTTTGAGGGGACAAGTGGTGGTCGGTGCTAAGATGTCAGGTGTAACGACCATGGAGAGGTGCCCTTGAGATTTGGCTGCGAGGAGGTGGTCCTCAAGCTTCGTGGGGCATCCCTTTTACATGGGAACTTGAATGACAGCCAAGGTTTGAGACCCACTAAAGCTGGTGCCCTGCAGGTCAGGTGCAGGCAGAGTGGGGATGACAGCCTACTGTGGACCTGCTGGCAGGGTTAAGGCCCTGGGGCCATGGGGTGGGGGGAGGCTTCCCCGGGCTGGCCTGCAGAGGGAGTAACTTCTTGGTCCACTCTCTCAAGGGGGTTTGATCATGGAGAGAAGCAGACAAATGGGACAGTAGCTGGATTTGGGAAGGTGGCATTAGGGTGGCTGTTCCAGAGATGAAGACCCCAGAGCATATTTCAGGCAAATGAGACAGATCCAGAGGAGAGCAAAAGGCTGATGATGCAGGGGCAAGAGTATGCCTTAACTTGGCGTGGGAGGGATGTGGGGGGCGGGGATAATAAGGAAGACTGATGGTTTGGTAGTGCAGAGATAAGAAACTTCACTTCCAAGGCTTCTGTTTTCTCAGCGAAATGAGACATGAGGTTTTCAGCTGAGAATGAGGGTGAGGAGGAGTGTGGTGGGCTTGAGGAGTGGGCCTACCAGAGGAACCTGCTGGACGGCCAAGCAGCATACTCATAACTGCCGCAGAGCCATCAGCCTAGTCCTGCCCCTCTCTCCGGCTTGCTGGGTGGAGTGCGCAGGAGACGGTGAGTGGTGCTGCTGGGCAGAGGTTTGAGGGTGGGGCCAGTGTTTTAGAGGGAAGACGGTCAAAGCGTTGGCTATATTTGGACAAATGTGATAATGTACAATCCTGGGGTGTCAGCCTACATGGCAGGAAGGGAAGCCAAAAGGGCCCTGATGGAGAGGTGGGGCCGGGACTGGGTGGAGGCCAGGGAGCCGGTGAGCTGGACAGAGGAGTTTCTGAAGAGGATCTAGTCCAGGGGCTGATAGGAGAGGAGGTCACTGTTGATGAGGTAGTTGGGGCGCCGAGGAGCTGGGGTGGGCGAGTCTTCCCTGTGTAAGCTGAGTCACAGGAAAAGCGGCAGCAGCAGGGGCGGGGGAGGCCCAAGGGAAGGGGAAGCCAGGGGCAGGGAGGTGGCACTGGGAGCATTTGGGGAATGCTCCCCCCCCCCCCCAGACAGTGACATCAGGCTGCGCTCTGACGGGGAGTGGCGGGTCCTGGACCAAGGGGGCTGGGTGGGAGTGGCAGAGAGGGGGCACTGCGGGTGAGGGAACAACATGTGTGAAGCAGGGGACAGGGCGGGCACAGAGCATGGGAGGAGCTGAGGGGTGAGACAGAGCATGGAGCGTGGGGCCACGTCAAGCTGGTTGGAGGCAGCAGCAGAGACTTCAGTCTCTGTCGGACCAGAGGAGTGAGGACAGGGCTCTCATGGTTAAAAGGTTCTGTGATTTCATGATCCCCGTGCTGGCCTCCATCTCCTCTCATTGCAGACTTCCCACTCCCCTACCCCCAAAGACTTCCATGGGTCCCATTGCCCACACTGTCACACACAGACAGACAGACTTGAAAGTGGCCATGGCGGCCCAGCAGACCAGGGTCAGGCCTACATCCTGATGGCAATGAGGGAGAGGCCAAGGCCCTGGAGTGCCGAGACAGGCCTGGTGACCTGGCCAGTGGGTGGACACAGGGCACATGACATGCACAGTGTTTTGGAACCACAGTGTCCTGGGGTGAGGCTGGGTGGGCCATCTAAGAGAGGCTGCGTCCTGATTCCTGGAGTTTTCCTACTGATTTCTGAAAAGGTCTGGGACCTCAGTCCAAAAATACCAACCTACCATATCTGATGGTCAGCACACTTGCCCTTTGCATTGAACTCTGCTCTCCCCAGCCCTTGGGTGTGGCTGCTGCTGTTCAAAGGGTTCATTCTTCCCCTCCCTGGAGCCTACCTTGAGGGCTCTCTCCAGGTCTGTGCAGGCACTGAAGGAGCATAAGGGCAGGGGGCTGCTAGTTGTTTCAGGAGCTTCCTCTCCACCCAAACAGAATCCAATCAGACAGGTTAGCAACTGGCATTCAGAGAAGTCCTGGCTCAAATCACAAGTGTGGCCACCCTCCAGGTACCATTTGCCTAGACCTGCCCACCCTTCAGGTGTGCTGTGCACACCCACAGCCCATAGGTGTTCGGTTCTCCCCCATTTCACAGGGAGGCAGAGCACGGTGCTGAGGAGCCATGCCGCCTCCCCAGGCCCCCAGGTGGAAGTGTGCCTCCGAGTGGAACTTGCTCCTGTTTGGAGACACTGGCAGGATCCTGGCCCTGAGGCACACGGGCCAAGCTGGCATCCCAGCTTGGCCTCCCACAGACGGGATCCGTGTGCTGAACTGAAGTCCTATGTTCCCAGTGCAGGGGAGAAGAGGAGGGGTCGCAGGTAGATTTCAGTGACAAGAGAAGGCAGCAATGAAAATTATGACAGCAGTGAGCGGTGGTAGGCACTCCCCTGAGTACTTTATCCCTTCATCCTCTCAGCTGCCCCATGAGGTCAGCTCTAACACTTCCCCATTTTACAGAGGAGGAAATTTGAGGCAAGGAGTGTAAGCAACTTACCTAAGGTTAGTAGAGAAGCTGGGAATCATGAACAGGGATCAAGTCTGGGGCTGGAGGGGGCAGGAGTGGCCTGGGTGGGGATCAAGGAGTTCCAGAATGGCCCAATTCCTGCAGGGGCTCAGATGGACAGGTGCTTGGGTCTGTGCTGGGGGTCTGGGAGGCTTAGTCCTTGTGACTTTCATGCCCTCTTTGACCTAAGCAGACGGGCATGACCCAAAAACCCAAGGCTAGTGGGACCCCACTTCCCACAGTGGCTCCAGCCTCCTGGGCCCCTGCACCTATATTGCCTTAGCACCCCTTCCTCGATGCCAGGCCATTCCTCACTTGCACCACCACCCCTCAGTCCGAGCAGAGCCTCCCTGACCACCCCTCCCCCATCTGCATGCTCAGGATCAGATTCTCCCAGGCACAGTCTGGGGAGATCTTCCAAGACCGTATAACACTGCCGCCTGCCCCCAACCGCCCCCAGTCATTCAGCCCTTGTTTGTTGAGTACTTACTGTGTGTAGCAGGAAGACTGAGGCCCAGACAGGACACAGAACTTGAACAAGGTCATTCAGCCACCCAGCATGAAGGGTGCCTAGGACCCAGAGCTCCCACCACCCAGCCCCCACCCCCAGTCTCCTTTCACAGGGGTCTTCTCCCTCAGGGAGGTAGCAAATTGGGCCGAGGGGTGAGAGGATGGTGTCAGGAGCTTTTGAAGAGCTGAGAGGAGAGGCTGCTTTATTTCTTCTGCCCCCTGAGCTCTGACCTCTGGGGCAGCCATCTCCTGAGAACCCTCCTCTTCCCCTCTCCTTCCCTGCCACATCTGTTTTCTGTCAGGCTTCAGCTGAGTGCCCCACCCCCCGCCGGCCCTGCCCCCCACAGAAGAAAACACTACAGGGCTTTGCCTCACTGCAGGGGTGGGGATGGCCCTGGGGTGATCAATCCCAGCTGCTGCTTGTTTTCCCTCCATGGAGGGGAGTCATCTTGACAGCCTCCCCCAGCTCCTTCATCCAGGAGTAGGCAGGGCTGAGGCAGGACCCATGGGAGGGGGAGGGGGAGAGGCACTGATGGGGTCACAGCCAAAAGGGCTGGAGAGGATGTTGCAGGGGTGGTTCTGCAGGGACTCAGCTGGTTCCCCTGCTCGCAGCCTGCCCCCTGCCCTATATAACACTAATAGTAATAATATATGATATTAATACTAGCCAATACTTTGCTTTTAATGTGCTGGGCACTGACTTAACAACTTTGCATATATTAATTTATTTACTCTTCACAACAACTCTGTCAAGTAGGTATTAGCTCAGTTTTACAGAAGAGAAAATCGAGGCATAGAGAGGTTACGTGACTTGCTAAAGGCCACACAGCAATGATAAGTCTTGCAGAGCTCTTTATGGTAATAAAGTATTTTAAGACAGTTATCTCATTTAGTTCTTTCTCTATCACGAGTACAACAAATGTTATTAGTCTTCCACCCAGGTTATAGAGGGGCAAGTTGAGGTCTAGAGGAAAAAGTTCTTGCCCACCAGACCTCAGCAGATAAGTGAAGCTGCAGCCCCCTGGGTAAGACCTTTAATGTCCTAGAGTCTCAGTTTCCTCATCTGTAAGGCAGACAGTAATATATCCCTCCCAGGAAGGTATGAGGTTAGGTGCTATGATCTATGTGGCAGCAGTTTGCAAAGTATAAACCATGGGGAGCAATGGGGTGTCAGGCCTGCTTACTCCGGCACTCTGGCCTCACCTGGAAGACTGGTCAGGGAAGGGGCCCTGGCCAGCGTGAAGAGGTGGGAGGAGAGTGGAAAGCAGGCTGGGTTTAGTCAGCGGAGGGGAGGCTTCTGTGTGACCCCTGTGTGACTGGGATCAGTAGGTGGGGTACTGGCCACGCCCAGAGGCCAGTTCAAGGTCGGGAAGCCCTTCTTACAGCTCAGGCAGTGAGCTGAGCCAGGGAGCTCCGCAGGCCTGCAGGGGGGCTCCCCAGCCTTGGGGCTTGTAGGCCATGCCCTTGGATGTCGTTTGTGTCCGCCGAGATGTCTGGGAGAGCAGGGGGTGTGACCTTCCTAGGCCTTCTGGCAGTGAACCCTGGCTTCAGCTTTTATTGACTCTATACCAGCTGGTGTCTCCTCCCACTAATCATCATCATCATCATCATCATCATCATCATCATCATCAACAACACGAATATCATTTATGTGCTATCTCATTCTATTCCTGATCTTCATTGAGTTGGAATAGCAATCTCATGAGAAAAATGTTATCAATGTCCCCTTTTACAGACAGGGAAATGGAGGCTCAGAGGTCAGGTGGCTTGCCCAAGGTCACACAACTCGTGGTTGCAGAGCTGGTGTTCCAGCCCAGGTCTGACAGGGAGCCAAACTCCATCATCTCTCCTCTGGCCAGGAAAGCCAGTCCTCTGCAAGCCCCTTAAGGCAAGGCTATGGCTCCTGTCCTTTTTCCAGTCTGTCCTTGTATGGTTTTAGGCCTGGAAGCACAGGCATGGGCTTTATGTGCCCTGGGTCACAACCTTGCCACACGCAGTCCCTGCTGCACTCATGTCCCAGAGCTCTCTGCCTCTGTATTCCCAAACTGCTCCCTCTGAGTGTCGCCTTGGGCCAGGCACTGCGTCATTGGGCAGAACAGCCACTAGTCAACTTTGGAGCAATGTGCAGTTTAGTCAGGGAGATAAGTGCTTACTGTTAGTGTCCTTCCAGGACCATCCTGGGTCATGGTCACTGGCACTGAGACTCCCTGCCCACCACCAGCTTGTAGCCCCTGCCCCCTTTCCTTGGCACGTGGCTCCCTACTGGCCTGGACCAGCTTCCTCCGAGTCCACCGAGTCCCTGCAGGGGACCCTTTTACAGGCAGGGCTTCTGAGTTGGGGCTGTGCTAACCACCTCAGGACATGTGCCTAATAGCATCCCTACATTTTCTAAGGAGACAAGGCTTTGCTGACTTTTGAGAGCCAGGGAGGAAAAAAAGAGGGAGCAGGGAAGTTCTCTTTGTAACAGAAACATGCCTAACAGCTTACAGTTTCCTAGACCTCTGAATCCTCCCAGTGCTCTGCAGACATGTTGTGATGATGACCTGCTTTACAGATATGGAAACTGAGGCCCCCTGAGGTCACACAGTGAGTGAGCAGCAGCATAGGTCTGGCCAGTCACCTCCCTGCTCTGGGCCTCAGTTTCCCGTTAGGTAACAATGAGGTTTCCCTCATGTAGCCACTCACCAAACATGGCAGGCAGTGTGCATGGCCCTGACAAGTGGGGCCTTCAGAGTACCAGCTGCTAACCCCTCACGGAACTGAGGGCTTGCTTCCCACAAGCCTGAAGAGCTGTGACCGTGTCCAGGTTAAACTCTCCTTGAGTCCCGAGGCCACACAAACAGGCATGGGAGTAACCGTAGCCAGGGAAGGAGTACTGCGTCCTGGGAGTCAGGAGGTGTGGTCTTGGGTCTTCTTTGCTCTGGGCCTTGGTTTCCTCATCTGGCTAAGTCTGGGCACCTGTCTGTCTCTACCCTGGGCTTTTGTGAGCTGTCAGTGGTGGCTGCTCATAGAGTACTGGGGAATGGCTAAGTGGCGTCCAGACCCAGGCTGTGGGTATAAGACCCCCTCCCACAGCCCTGGCCCCACCCCAAGGCCTCAGTCTGTGCCTCCAGGGACAGTGAGAGGCAGGAAGGGCCCTGGTGCCTTGGGAAACAACCTCTGTGACACAGTGCACACTCTCTGGGCCCTCCCTGTGTGTCCGTCTTGCCCCTCCCTCTCCCTCCATCTTCCCTCTCTCTCCTTCTCCCTCTGTGTCTACCACTCTCCCTGCATCACTCCGTGTTTCTGTCTTTCTTGCTGCCCCCTCCTCTCCCCACCTTGAGCCCTCTTCCTCCTTCTTCTCTGCAGAGACCCCTGGAGAAACCCGATGGCCTGGACGTGTCTGACCAGAGCAAGGAGCACCCCCAGCACCTGTGCGAGAAGTGCAAAGTGCTGGGCTACTACTGCCGCCGAGTGCAATGACCGGCCCATCCTCCACACCTGCCCCCTCCTGCCAGCCAGAGAAAATGCCACCTCCCATGTTCATCTGTGTTGCTGCATGTCCCCATGTGCATGGGGGCGTCCTCACAGGCATGCGGGTCTGGCAGGGGTGTCCTAGGTTCTTGTCTTCATGTGTGTTGACAAACAGTGTTACTGACGTAGCTGCTCCACCGAAGTCTGGGTCTCAGACTCTCTCGGTGGGCCTGGAGTCTGTGTGCAGAGAACGTGGGTGAGCAGAGGTTGAGGCACTGATCCCACAAAGCCCTTGGGGTGCCCTGCAGGCTCTCCTCGGCTAAGGCTCCCTTCGGGCTGAGCAGCCTTCTATTGGCCACAAGTGCACTAAATTGACTGTGAATCCCACAGCCTGTCAGGGATTATCTTTCAAAACCAACCAGGCGGCCTTCTCCCAGAACCTAACTTGCCCCGTGTGCAAAGCCACTCCCAGAAAGGCCTGTTTTCTGTCCTGTTTGAGACCACCGGGTCACGGGGAGCCAACACCTGTCCGAGCAGCTGCTGGGAGTGGGCTTCTCTGCCCGACTCACTTTGAGCCCTAAACCTGATCGCCTCTGACGTCCCTATCCCCTCTCCTTGTAGACCCAGAGGTTGGGGACAGGGAGGCAGTGAGTGTCGGACAGTGTCCCCAGGTGTGACCTGGGCACATCAGGCATCTCCTCCCCCCACTCACCCCCACACACTTTCCCCACTGGTTTGGATCTTGTCAGCCCCATTCCCTTCCCTTCTTCACCTCCCACCCATGCTCCGGCCCCGGTTGAGTTTTGGGGCCCGTTGTGGGAGCCGCTCTGGCAGGAAGGATGCAGGCCTGTTGGACCAGAGAGAGTCCTAGGTTCAGAGGCTGGCCCTGCTGCTGACCAGCTGTGGAACTTGGGAAGGACTTGTCATCTCTGGGCCTTGGTTTCCCCACTAGGTAAGTGAGAGAGTGGCACTGGAGAGCAGAGAGGCCTGTTTCAAGTCCCATCTGGAATTCAGCCTGGCCGGGCACCCTCTCCTGGAGCACAGGGCTTAGTCTGGAGCGCTCCCCTCGGTCCTGTGCTCCTTGCCGTAGCCTGTCAGTGGGTCGCGTAAGAGTCGAGCCCAGGGAGCCAGTCTTCCCTTGTCCTCCCTGCAGGGCCGGCCCTGCCTGTCGTCTCCCACCCCTGCAGAAGTGAAGGAGAAGGACGCCCCTCCACCTCACACAGGGCAACCCCAGACAAGCTGTGGAACCTCTCACTTGTGAACCGGGGACTATGATTTCCTACCTCCCGGGGGAGCAGGGAGGCTGCTTGGCTCTCACAGGGGTCAGGGAGATACTGTCCTGGCAGGTGGGAGGGGTCGATTCTCCTCTCCTGTCTTCCCAGTGAGAAGCCTTAGTTTTCTTTTCACACCATTCTTCCTTTCTCCCTGGGACAGGGAGAAAATTGGTTGTCAGGACTGAATCACTTGATTTTGCCCCGATACTATGCCTCTGTGGAAAAAAAAATCAGACCATGAAATGGGCCTGAAATTCAGTGTTTACCACGGCTCAAGGACACCCACCCGGTGCCCAGTTGCCTTTTGTTTTCAAATGAAAATGTTTGTACAACTGAGGAGTTACAGTAAAGTGTTAACCAGGGGTCCAGGGAGCGAGTCAGAAACATGGAGTGAGTGTTCTGGAAGCCAGGGCGCTGCGGTGTAGGTTTCGGGGGCTCGTGCACTCTGAGCACTTGAAAAGAAGGTGTTGGCCCCAGCCTGAGCCCGAAGCCACCCCCTCTGCCCGCAGCAGTGACGCCTGGCTACTGGGCTACTGACCGTGAGCACCCTCTCCACCCGCTGGGAATGCCACCGAAGAGTCCTAGGCCAGCTGTTCCCTGCCTTCTCCACGGTGTCGAGGTGAGTGGGAGTCGCCCCGGCCTAAGGCACTCTGTCCCGGAGGAGAGGCTGTTACTGTCTGTCATCCTAGGGCACAGCTCTAGATACTGTGCACAGTGGTGGGCAGTGTGCTTGGGTTGGCTGTCAGGGCGAGGCCCCAACCCTTCCAGAGACCTGGCCCTGCCTGGGTGTTGGCCCCAGCACGCCCGGGGCCTGCCAGCGGTGCTGCACAGTGGGGGAACCGGGACCCTACAGAGAACCCAGACTCAAGCTGCTGGAGGCCAGGCCCTCCGCAGGCCAACAGGAGATGGGCTGTCGCCCCACAGTGACCTTTTCAGTGGGCACATCCAGCTGGCAGCCACCACCCCTGCCATCTGCACAGAGCTGGCCGCCATGGGGGCTGGGCCCTCAGCCCGAGGCAGCCCCTCTGTGCTCCCCACTTCTGTACTGTTCTGGCTGAATTGGGAGTGCTCTGTGGTCAGCAAAAGCTACTGGTGTCCGGGCTGGATGCTGTGAGAACTAAGTGCTCAGAGGGCCTGGGAGGGGACGAGAAAGTGTGTGGTGTTAGTCATGTCGAAAGGGACAATCGCCTGCAGTGAGCAGACCAGTGGTCGAGCTGGGAGATAGCAGTGTTTACCCTGTATGAAGTATTCAGTAGTTCTACTTGTGAGTTTGTATTTATTTTGAGTTATACTTGACACAGAATTCCTTTTTTTAAAGAAAAATGCTATTTGTGTATTTTGAAAAAAATCATGGATGTTAAAATTTCTGCGTGGTTGTCAATTACTCTCACAACACTGAATTTGTTACCTTCTCCTGAAAAATCTTCACGGTGATTTTTGTATGTATATATTTGAAGGCCTTTTTTTTAAAAAAAAAAGAAAAAGAAAAAGATAATTGTTTGATTTTTGAGATAAAAAACAAACACAAAGGCATTTTCAAAACTTCAGAGCTTTTGGGAGGACAACAGAATATCAAATGAAAATTTCTGGAAGTATTTTGCAAATCTTTTGAGCTGCAAGAAAATATTTATGGTGAGAATTTTTCTCTTTGGGGTTTTTTTTGGTTTGATTTTTTTTTTTTTTTACTATACTTTGGTCTGTAAAAAGTATGCAACTGAACTACGTTAAGAAGGAAATATTGTCTACATAGAATATTATATGAAGTTGGTACATAATTCTGATGAGGAAAAAAAACCTTCACAATTCTTTAAGCCATACTGTTATTCTGTGTTGTTTTTTCCTTGGATGAGAATATCAATATTAAGTAGCCAGCATATTATTCAAGTACTTAGACTTATTAATATGTTTCTGTCCTGTATTTATGCACATGTGTATTTGGAAAGTGTTGCCTTTCTACGGGAAGCTATTATTGGATACATAGTGAAAAGGGAATGGTGACCCCTCTGAGCCTCTTCAGCTGAGGATCATAACAAACACAGCATTGTAATCCACTCTCTCTCACCTTCTTACCTTATTATGGTTATTAGGTTTTTAGGGGGCAAGGAGGTGGGCCAGGGGAAGAAGGAGCCTGTGACTAGCCCCTCTGTGGCCAGCCAGCTCCAAGGACAGCCTCCTTGGCCTGGTGAAGGGGCCCGTCAGCAGGGCCCAAGGAGGGAAAGAAGAATCGGAGGTCTTCGCACCCCTCTGCATCTGCCATCTGAGCCATGCCTCGGGGCCCCAGGCTCTTTGAACTTGGATTTGTCAAGCAGAGTCCTCACCTGCTCTCCAGCATCTATGGACTTGAATCTATCCTGAATGACTATTTAACCCAACATCACTACATTGTAGCCCAGTGCAACAACTAACTCTGAAGTGTGTGTGTGGGGGAGGTGTTCCCTGGGGGCTGGTGGCAGCAGGCCGGTTGCTGTCTGCTGCCAACCTCACTCTGACCTCCTCCACTCCTATGGGGTGACCTGTCCATGTCTGTATCTGTTAATAATATGTGTGTGTCCAGCTAAAGAGACAAACAGCCCGTGGGCCCAGCTTGGAGGGTGCACGGAAAGGCTCCTGACCTCTCCAGAGTGTCGCCCTCGGGATGGCATTCCGTTGTGTGCCTTATTCCTGGAGAATCTGTATACGGCTTGCCTATAGACATATAGTCTTTTCGTGCTGTATTAAAAGGACTTTAAACACAAGAGAGGCTCGTGGTTTCCTTGTTCACACAGAGCATCAGCATGGAGCTGGATGCTCTCACAGACCTGTGGGGCCATCCGGGAAGGGAGGGACTTGGGGTGCCCGTCTGTTCTTTTGGGCCTAGGTCAACCTGTCCACGCCCTGCTTCCATGTCATTAATTTGCCTCTTTGCAGCCCCTGTGCCCCAAGTGGGCACTCTATCCAGGGTGACAGCCTTCCCCAAGTTGGGCCCCAGACTGGGCGAGATTGTCAGCACATTAGGTCACATGTTAGCTCAGCGATGGGACTCCCAGCTGACCATATATAGGAGTGAATCTTCCTTGGAGCCGGCAGCCCTGGGCCTTGCCGCCCCTGCTTACGCTTGGCCCTCTGGCCACGGCTGGGGTTTGGGCATCACACAGTCAACAAAGCGAAGCGTCCAGGGCCTCCTGGTAAGTCTCCAGGCAATGGAGCAGAGGGTCCGTCTTCTGAGCAAGCCCAGAATGGGCCCAGGCTGTCACATGGTGGGGCCCACTGAGGGCCACAGACAGAAGACATGGCTCGCAAGGCTAGGGATCCGTGGCAGAGAGACCTGCATGGGAGCCCTTCAGCCCAGGGTAGGTACTCTGCTCCCTCTCAACCTCGCTGCTCACCAGAATCACCTATGGGAGCCTCGGTCACACCCCAGAGATGCTTGCAGTGTCAGCCTGGGTGTGTCCTCAGGTTCTTTAAGCCCCCAGATTAGTCCCATGTGCAAGGTTGAGAAACACTGGACTTTGCAATGGTCCCTTGAGGTCCTGCGGTGGTGATAGCGACATCAGTGAGGAGGCCGGGGGCAGGGGCTCCAGCCCTGCTGCAAGGGCACCACGTTCTCACTCCAGCCAGTCACTGCTGAGAATACACTGTCTGAGTGTGTGCGTGGTGCGGGGTGGGGGGGGGGTACGAGTCAGGGGGCTTGGAAATCCAGGTTCTTATGTGAAACATTCCATTTTTTAAACTTTGGCAACTAGTTTACTAAATGTTTGGATAGCATACATGTACACCATGTGTCTGTGGGCCAGCTCTGGACAGCAAGCAGCTGAGATGGGGCAGAGTAAACCAGATGTGAGTCCTTGGGATCAGGGACCATGGATGGAGGAGGGCTGTGGGACAGGCAGGGACAAGGACCTCCTACTCCTGAAGCAGGATCCTTGTCTTATTTGGGGTGTACAGTGAATCCTTGGGAGCCATCAAGCCCTTTCCTGATTACTGGCATAAGGGGAGAATTTGCTGCTGGTGCTTTCCTTCAGGGTGTGTGAAGTGACAGTCAGCAGGGCCAGGCCTCAGCCTGAACACAGGTGGGTGTCAGCTGGTCAAGCTGGTGAACGCGGAGGGGACCCTGTCCAAACAGAGTGGAGGAAAAGAGATCTCCTATGAGTGATTGCTCCCCAGCAGCCCCTGGCCCTGGGCCAGCGGCCCAGGGAAGAGGCTGCCCTCCCCTGGCAGACCTGAGAAACCCAGAGCCAGGTCTGTCTCCAAGCGCCCCTGACCCCCAAAGACCTACCTCCCCCTGGCTGTGTGAGGTTGAGCAGATCCTTGCCTCTCTGAGCCCCAGCTTCTGCGGGGTTAATGTGCAGATGAGATGGCCCAGTGAATAGAAGGCCCGGGGCACGGCTTGGCACCCTGAGGACCCAAGGGCTGTGGATCTCTTGCTCCCACTGTTTGTGGCTCAAGCAGAAACGCCTTGCCAGAGGTCACACAGGAAGTCGGGGGCAGGGAGAGGCCGGCCTCCACCTCGGCACCCCCGCGTCCATTTGCGACCCTCGCAGGCACTCACTGAGCACCCTCCTTGTGCTGCGGCCAAGGCCCCGGGCACATGCTCGGTTATCTGTCCTTGTGTGTTAGTGTGCATGTGCCTGTGTGTTCGTTTTGTTTTCCGTGGAAAGAAAACAAACCCAAGGTAAACATAGTCTGCCTTTCAACATCTCCCAGAGCCGTGGAAACCAGTAATTTTCCTGGACAGGAAGGATTTCCGGTTGGACTTACTGTCCATGTCCGGAGGCTGCCAGCTGCTGAGGGCTGAGAGGGAGCAGAGTCTACTGCAGAAAGGGGTGTCAGGGGACCCAGAGAGGAATACCCAGCTCAGGGTCCACCCCTGCCTTCTTCCTAAACTGACACCCATGCCCATATTTCTGTCTGGGCTGAAGCTGAGGTCCCCAGTGAGGGAAGGCTCACAGAGGTCACCCAGCAGGCAGGTGGCAGAGGCTTGAACCCTGAGTTTTTATTCTCAGTACAGTGCTTCAGAGGCAGACCTGGGGCTGAGCTCCAGGCAGCACCTGCACCCAGACTTGCAAAAGTGAGGCAAGGAGTGAAAGCCCCAGGGGCTGAGGTGGTCTGAGGGACAGGCAGCTCCAATTCACAAAGTCCTTTGTATATGGAGCTCCCTTGGCACTTGCTCCAGACACAGGGGAGGAAGACCACGCCAGTGTCCCAAGCCTGAGAGGAGAGAGGGTGCAGTGCTCAACCACCCCTCCTCCCCACCTCAGCTCCAGAACAGCTGGAGCTCAGGGCCCCTTCTGTGACCCAGACAAGGCTCCTGGCACCACCCCTTCTCAGCATGTGTGATGTGGAGGCTGTGTGTCCTACTCTGTGTCCTTATCTGTAATCTGGGGCAATCAGGACCCACCTGACAGCTGAAGTGGATGCTGGGCATCTCCTGTGCCCAACACACATTCCGTGGTGGCTGCATCCCTGCCCACCCACCCTGCAGCCTCACACCCTGAGGCTGGGCCCAGGTGGCCATCGGCCTTTGGTGCTGGGTCCCACCCAAAGGCCCAAGTCTCTCCTGTGTCCTAACAGTCGGCATAGGAGCCAGGGCAGGGAACAATATGCCAGTATGATAGGTGGAGAAACTAAGGCCCAGGGGGGCCCTGGTGCCCAAGACTGACCGATGGGACCCTCTGCTGCACCCTCCAGCCTCCAAACTCTGTGCTGTTTTGATCCCAACAAGACTCCAAGAGGTTTTCCAGGAGGCAGTGCAGGCCTTCAGCAACACGTTATGGCATTTCTTGGGGCCAGCCCAGGGCCCTAGAACAGGGCTAGGCCTCACGATGGACTGCGGAGTCAGCCACCTCTGCTGCCAGATGCCCTGACCCTAGTTCCCCAGGGCCTGGGAGGGGGAGAAAGGACAGGAGGAGCTGGAACAAAGAGGGACACAGGCTGGGGAAGGCTCACTGCCCCTGCAGCCAGGCCTCTCTCTGCTCCCCAGAGCTCTGGCTAGAGCCAGGAACAGCCTGTTCTTGGGACAAAGGCCTTCTAAACAACCCCCTCCCCCATTTATCCATAGATGTTAGAGGCCCTGTGTTGTCTCTGCCACACACACTTAGACACACTCACACACACCCATCGCAGTCACACATATGCACACACAGTCATACTTGCACATGCAGACACATTTATCATACACAGACACATTCATTACACACAGTCACACAGACGCATGCACATATGTATACTCACACACACATACTCACTATACACACTTGCACATGCAGACACATTTATCACACACAGACACACTCATACACACAGTCACACACACTCATACACTTGCACAGTCACACTCCCACACACACTCAGACATACACACCTTCAGACACAAACACCTGTGGGGTGGGGAGCCCTGGGGCGCCCTCTCCAGCTAGAACAGTGCGGTGTCCACAAGCCCAGGCATCCTGGGTACCCTTCTCTCACCCCTCTTAGCTAAGGGTCACTTTTAGGAAGGAGGGAGCTCCAGCCCTCTAGAGGGTGTGGACTTTTTGCAAACCTGCCC